GAACAGCATACTGGAAAATTCTTAACCACTGAAGTTCAGAGCAGCTACAAAATGTAAAGATGGGAAGGGCATTTTTCAGGCTGGAAAGCGGACCCAGCAGGCAAAGTGCGAGCCTGCCATGCTGCTGAGCCCAGTTCAAATCTCCGGCACCACATACAGGTCTGTGCGCACTGGCAGGGATCGCTTCTGAGCACACAACCAGGAACGGCGTCTGGGCTCTACCAGGAGTGGCCCCAAAATGCAAAAAAACAAAAAACAAAAAAAAGCCCAAAAAACAAAATAAAATGTAACTTGCCAAATACAATGATACAGATGACAATGGTGTGTTACGCAGCTGCTGACTGTGTGCACTGGCGCGCATCCTGCCTGAGTCCTGGCATTGGGGAGCCCCTGACCTTCACACCCACCCCAATGGGGAGGAAGGAACTCTGGTTACTATTATTCCCATTTTATAGATGAGGCTTAGAGGAGGATCAAAAGAGGGTTGTGTTGATGAAATTATTCAAACCATAGACTCAGAAGTCACTAGTACACACACATAATGAGGCAAAATGACTACCCATCTCTTGGTCATAAAACCAAAGTCTGAAAGTCTTTGATATTTTGACTGCACTGTGCTCGACCAAATGAAGGGAGAACAAGAACAGACAAGCCCTTTCCCCAAGAGGTAATGAGAACGGGCCCCCAAGAGAGGAGTGGTGCGATGAAGCTATCAGAGAGTTACGCACACCCAGATACGGGTGCTCTTTAATTTGCGACACTGCACGCCCACAGACCCAAGGGCAGAAACGTGTCTGTTCAAGGGTCACGTTAGAAAATCCGTCAACTACCGTCAACGCAGGAGTGACCGAATCCAAAGAATCTGATTAAGTAAATAGACAATTCGTCTGCAAGGTCTGGGTCTTAAGAAATCAGTCCACTGAAAATTCACTCAATTGCCTCCATCCTGGCCTGCTAGTGCTGTGCTTATCCCAACACACACACACAAACACACACACACACACACACACACACACGGGTTACAATTCCAAGGGAGTGCCCGGGAGCCCCCCACAGGGAGTCTTGGCCCAGTGACCCGGCGTGAGCACTGGTGTCCAAGAACCCAGGGCCCAAGATTTCTCTAGGCTGCTCCTGGTGGTGCTGGTGGGCTTCCAGGGTCACGCCCAGCGGTACTCAGAGCCCCTGGGGACTGAGTGGGGTCAGGCATCAAGACAGGTTTGGGGGTACACTCGGCAAATGTACTCTTTCTCGGGCCCCACATCCTTATTTTGAATGGTGAAGAAAGCTGGCCGGTGGACTTAGAGCGAAAGCTGCAGAAGCAGGTGTTCTGGGTCAGGCTCAAACCCAGGCCCGACCTTCCGCCGCAAGACCTCAAACATCTCAATTGTCTGAGCTCCCTTCCTGACTGAGGTGAGGGTGATGACTGATGCTACCAACCCTGCAAGACAGCTATGAGGAACAAGTCGATGAATGCGTGGGAAGCAGCTGTGACACAGGAAATGCTTGTTCAATTACTTCATCAATATTACCCAAACCTCTATGTTTCGGAGGGAGAACAGAAAGGGCGTGCTTACTGCCACGAGGCTGCCTCCATGAAGGACGAGGATATTCGGACGTTTCCAAGCCTCGGATTTGCTCAGCCATACCCAAGGATTCATCAATCCTTCTGAGGTCTGATTTCGTTTGAGGAACAATGGAAGGCTTTTTATTTATTTTTACAACTTACTTTCATCAAGAATGAAAGTCAGCACGGACACCTGCCTCTGCTGTTCTCTTATCAACTGTGTGATAAGAGAACAACAAAGTTGCAATTCGGTTCCTCACACTGGGGAGTCACTGTTCAAAAATTTTCTGTCCAAGTTAATGGTAATAACATTCTCAGGCCCCACCTACCAAATCACACCAAATAGGAAATCCTGCTTGCAGAGAGCGAGGGAAGCCTGGAATGACGGATGATCTTTTAGGCTGTTCACAGATCGCTACAAAGACCCGATCCACTGCCCTACATGTAAATTACAATCTAGAAATCATCCTGCTTATAATTTTTTTAAAAGCTCGTAAATTAAAAATAAATATATATTTATTATAATAATATATATTTATATTCTATTATAAAATAATACTCAATACATAAATATTATTTCTAAAACACATACATAATAAATGTAAATTGTAAATTGTTTAAGGCTTATAAATTACAATCTAGGAATCGCCCTGGCTCGAGTCCAGCTGCTACACTTGCCTTTATTCTGTCTCAGTTCAAGCACAGCCGCCGCGTCCTGTCAACTGGTCCCACTCATCAACTGCACCTCCCATGTCCCCCGCCAGCCACTGCCACTGACATCAGTGGCTTTGTCATGAGGGGATACGCAGGGTCATGAGGCCTGGGCAAAGCCATTCTGATGTGTCATTAAAAACTGACCACCACGCTAGAGTTTCAAACAGACTTCAGAAAGCTATGGACCAAGCACAAGGAATGGAACTTTTTCAGATCTTAATTTTTTTTTAAATGTTTGTTTTATTTTCTTTTGGTTTGGGGCCATACCCCACTGTGCTCTGCACTCAGAGATCACTCCTGGCAGACTAAGGGTACCGCGTGTGGTACCGCGTGTGGTACTGGGGATTGAAAGTGGGTTGGCCGCATGCAAGCAAGCATCTTAACCCTTTGTTCTCTCTCCCCAGCCCCTTAAAGAGTCTTAAAAAAAAACTGAGACAAACATATTTGAATATTTACCAATGCTATAAAATTATTTGTAAAGTGTGATAACATGTTTTTTTTTCTTTTAAAAAATTACAGATTAATATACCAAGATTTCAAAATGATCCCATTAGAAGTCTAAGAGGAAGAATATGAAAATACTGACCAACAGGGAGCAGTTCTGGATGATGAGTTTACAAGGGTTAAGTTAGACTCTGCTAATATTGTCCACACTGATTATTTCCCACAATAAAGTGTTATTTACAAGGGAAACACTCATTTCCAGTTGCTCAGCACAAAGATTTTTAACATTCTTACACCTGCAGCCCTTAACATTCTTACACCTGCAGCTAGGGCTGGAGCGATAGCACAGCGGGTAGGGCGTTCGCCTTACAAGCGGCCAACATGGCCGACCCGAGTTCGATTCCTCTGCCCCTCTCGGAAAGCCCGGCAAGCTACTGAGAGTATTCGATATGCCAAACACAGTAACAACAAAGTCTCCAATGGAGACGTTACTGGGTCCGCTCGAGCGAATCAACGATCAACGGGAGGGCCTTTACCTTTTACCTTTACACCTGCAGACCCGCACGGGTTCACGCCCCAGGGGCTGAAAACCACAATGGCTTAAGGAATCAAAACAGATCTGCATGACAATAAATTTCACAAGCAAATATAAATAGAATTTGTCTTGCTCTAGAATCTTTTTTTGTGCTACCATCCTATCTCACACCCCAAGCAAGTTGTACTACACTTGTCATGATGTGCAAAACCTCAGGGCAGACTCCGTGTCCCTGCTACTGTTCCCTCTACCAAGAAAGTCTCTCCTAGCGCTGGACACGCTTCTGAGACGAGGTTCACAGGGCCACTTCTCTGCGTTTCTCTCTCCCTCAGGCCTTTCCTGAACCTTCTTCTGTCCTCAGTATAAACTTAAGAGTCTCAGGCTTCTGTCCCCAGTATAGACTTAAACGTCTCAGGCAGTTCGGCTGGTTCATTTTGGTTGTTGGTTCCTTTTCTTTCTTTCCCTATCTCCCTCAAGAGATCATGGTTTTCTTGAAAGAAGCCAAAGGGAGAAGAACAAATACAGGATGATCTCACTCGCCTGGGGCATAAAGAGAAACCGGGAATAGAAAACACTGGTTGGTGACAAACCCCTGGCTTCTGACTACAGAGCTGAGATGACCAAGAAGTGGGATGAGTGGAAAAAGGCAAGGGAGAGCTAGAAATGAATAAAGGAAGTGGCAACAGGTGTTGGTATTTGATGGTGGTGAAGAAGCAGTAACTTTGTACATCAAAACCAGAAAAGCTATTACTATTTTAACCATGTCACGTAAACTAAAAAAAAAAAAAAAAATCAATTTTAACCGTTACCTATAACTGAAAAAAAAAATAAAGATTCTGGTTTCCTTTATGCAGAATCTATGTTTTATTTACTTCAATAATTCTTCCCCTATAATATGTGCATAATGCAGGAATTATTAAATGAGTGCTTTGAAAATTAGGAAATTCAGCAGAAAGCAATCAATCATGTCAAACACTACTAAGAAAGTAATGCGCCCCATCAATCTTTCTCAATACATGCTTACCACATCAGTATCGATCTACCATAGGCCTATTACAGTCTTTAAAAATCACTGTCCTGTTTTGCAAGAAACAGACATCTCTCAGAAAAAAATATCAGTATTATTTAAAATAGAAGTTGAGGCCAAATTGATATGAATAGTTTATTTTTCTGTTCCCGAAATATAAGCTAACATCTTATTTGTGCTATCTTCGTATCTCATCTGTTGAAATCATGGGAACAGATATATTATCTGGCTGGAGAGGATATAATAATTTCTTTGTAATGCTAAAAATATCAAAATACTCGATAATGCTAAGTAGTACCTCTGAACCACGTCTGAGAGATACCCATTGAGAGAAGAGGGATGAAATGATCTACAAAGGATTTTAAACTTTTACTTTATGACAGGAGACAGTCGAAGTGCTTCTCACTTTTAAATATAAATGATAATTTAATGCGAGGAAATAAAAGATCAGGCCATGTAGGGACCGAAGCAGTAATACAGGAGTTAAGGCACTACCCTTGCATGCAGCCAACCCTCTTCGAAGGCTGGCCGAGCACACGGCCCGTGAGCACTGCTGAAAATGAGTGCTCCTGAGCACAGAGCCCGAAGAAGCCCCTGAGCATCACCAGATGCAGGCCAAAAATCCGAAAAAATAATAAGGCCATGCCGACTCAGCCAACGATCACTAACAGTTCTTGCTATGTTAAGAATTGTACACAGAGAAAGGAAACACCTACTAGTATAGAACTTCATTGGCTTCGTGTCGTTCATATCTCACAGTTTCACACATTAACCTGTAAGAGAAATCAAGACATGAGTTCAACATTTGTCATAAAAAAAAATTAACAATAGTTTAAAACATAAACGTGTACTCCAGAAAGTTACAATTGCTTCACATGGGTCATCGAATCATTTACCAGCCTCAAGCTAAACATTTCTGATATCGCAATTAAGAAAAAGAAATTAGAGATGCTAGAAAAGAATCTATGTGTTCGATGCCAACTTTGCCATGTTTATTTTCAAGAGAGCAAAGCTGCATGCGTTTTACAGTTTAATGACATATAGACAAATTAATGCTCTCTAAGATAAACAGAAAATGACAAGGACCTTTCCAATTCAAAACCGACTAATGTGGAAAGTGATAATGCCATTCACTGTGAGTGTTACACTTAACAGTACAGCATTTCAGACATTTGGAGACTTTTATTGACTCAGTATTTTATGACTAATGACTAAATGGAGGCTTTCAACCTTTCAGACTTGTTATTTCAGCTGATTCACCCCTGAAGAAAAAAGTATGGAAAACATGAGCAAATGTTTAAATAGTCAAAATTACCCCAAGAATAGGACCTTCAAATTATCTTATTATTTAGCCCAAGTAAAATTTCCTAAAAATACAGAAATGATGCAAAAGAGAAAATGACTATTCCTTCTTATGAAGGAAGTATAAAAAACAGAAAAAGCTGCTACACTGTGTTCGTCAGGGGAGTTTCATCAGTAACACCCCGAGTCACCAATCTATGAGACAGAAAACCAACTCCCGTCCATCTTCCCTGCTCACAAAACCCCAAGTCACATAAAAATCTCTTCATTTCTCAATCTGAAAGCAATTCTCTTGGGCATTCTGCCTCCCGGTTCCTATCACCACCTCCCACCGCGGGCCATCCCTCTCATCCTCTCATTCCCTCATGTGAAACATTCAAACTGAACGCCACTTAATTCCAGGGGACAAAATAATACCATCATCATTAAACATGCAGACTTCTGGAATAGGGCGTTTTCCTTGCACACGGCAGACCCGGGTTCAATTCCCAGCATCCCATATGGTACCCCGAGACCCCGAGCACTGCCAGGAGTAAACCCCTGAGCATCGCCGGGTTGTAACCCAAAAAAGCTAAAAAAAAAAAAAAAAAAAAAAAAACAAATAAAACCCCAAAGCATGCAGCTTTCCTACTGTGAACATAGGCCACACCCAAGTAGTGCTGGGAGGCCAATTCCTGTAAAACCTAAAGGTCGGTTGCTGGGACGGTTTCGTGCGTGGCGGGTACCGAGCTGCCAAAGGCTGCCAGGGCCACACTAAGCAGCACTGGTCAGCAGGGGAGAGAGAAGACAGGCAGTGCAGGGGACATAACTCACACACCAGGCATGTGTGTGCCCTCAGGAGCCATAACCTGGGCTATCTCTATTTTTCTCTTAACCACTGCATCACACCGATTCTTCATAGGAAAAAATGACAGTTATACATGATGGCACTAAAATGCCAGGTGAGAATGGCCAGGGATGTGCCTCAGTGGCAGACTACTATCTAGTCAAGCACGGGTGAGGCTGAATTCAATCCTCAGTCTGGCACTATCACCCACCACCACCAACGACAACAAAAGTTAAAAATGTCTGGTCATAAATTAACTGCCTGGCTCTGCCTGGTTTCTCTCAGAAGGAAAGCATCTTACCCCAGCCTCTTACAGGTCTCCTTCCTCCTCCCACATAGGAGCTGGCAGTCTTGCAAGTCTACCTCCTCCCTCCCGCACCACCATCTATTACTCCCTCTCCGCTGAATCACTGCTGTTAATATATAAACACAGCTGGGGCCTAGGATGCAGTTCCAGAGGCTGAGCACAAGCCTCACTGCATGGCTCCGGGTACCACTTCTTGTGGATGCTGGAGATAGCCCCTTGATTCCCCCATCTCTCTCCCACTTGGCCACTTCCTCAACCTAACTCCTTTCAGAATTGTCTACACACTCTCTCTGGTTTCTCACCCTGTCCCAGCTCCCCAACATTTGAACTGCCCAAGTGAGGAATCTGAAAGCTCTCAGTACCCCGTGCTCCCGAAATCCTTCCTGCTCTGATCCTAACTCCACCTCTCCACAGCTTTGGCTGGCTCACTCCCTTTTCCTCAGACCTTCCTCAGACACAGCAGAGGTTCCCTGCCCTCAGTGCCCTGATTTCTGCCCATTCAGTCGCTTTTTCTTTCTCTGCTGGTTTCCCCTCCGCATCCGAGTCCTCTATTTGTTATTTGTCCGAGACTTCTAAATGTTACCTCCAGTCCTCTCTGGCAGGTAACCTCCTCTGGTCCGTGATCTGAGTCGAATCTAAACTGCTGACACAGAGCAGGGCCTCAGATCTGAGATCTCCCTGCACTCACCTACACGCAGACTCAGTGGAGTCTCTCGGCTGTGTGCGCAACAGTCACTCACATTAAAACTATTCAGAACAGACCTTGAAACTTCCTCCCCATCATCTGCTTCCACACAATCAGGACCCGGTTGCTCTAGACAAAAACCCAAGTTCTCCTCTTTGGCTCCTTTTTTTTCTTCACATCCCCTCATTCTGCCAGCACCTGATACTAAAATAAATCTTTCCCAAAACAACCAAGTTCACAATCTCTCCTGCTAATTCCAAGTTTGCAGCACCATGACCTCGCTATTCTCGCTTACCAATACTATAAATGGAGACCTCGGCATCTACTGTTGTGTGCCCATGGCTCATTCTGCCCAGTGATCTGAAAGACCTCTCCAGGTCTTAAGTCAGATCGTCCTTGTCCCTCTGCTGCTAACCCCCTACTACCTTTAGAAGAAAATGCAAACTACCCTCCATTACAGAATCTCACAGAATGTACTGAATGCATTACACTATACTTAGTCTCCACCTTCCTATATTTACAGTAATGCCTGCACCATCCCATGTACAATTCTATTTCCATTAGCTGAGCACCTGGGCTACCTCAGCACTGCAGAGATCTCTGCACAGCTGCCCTGATTCAAATGGTACACCACTTTGGACCCCTTCTTTCCCTCCTTGGGGTGGGGGGGTGGAAGGGAATGCCCAGGGCCTCACCCACACAAAGCAAGTGGCCACATTTTTACCAACCCCTATCCAGAGCATCTAAATACAGAATTAATCTTGCCTGCCAGATCAGAAGCATGAGCTCTGGGACAACAGTGGTTTGCTCTACTCCAAGACTCCCGGGCCGAGATCAATGTCTTGCAGATAGTAACTATTGACTGAATAAATACACTTAATCAGTGTGATCAAAAAATCATGGCAGGGGACTGGAGCGATAGTACAGCGGGTAGAGCGTTTGCCTTGCACGCAGCTGACCCAGGTTCGAGTCCCAGCATCCCATGTGGTCCTCTGAGCACCTCCATGAGTAATTCCTGAGTGCAAAGTCAGAAGTATCCCCTGTGCACTGATGGGTGTAACCCATAAAGCAAAAACAACAAGAAAAAGAAAATCATGACAAAATCTTCTGTATGAAATGTTTGAAGTAAATAGGGGAGAAGACCAAAATGTTTTCACTAGCCTTAGCTATTTGGTTCTTAATGAAGCAACGACACTCCGCCACAAGGCTTATGTAGCTTAGCAGGTTCCTGATTCCAACTCTGAATGGGTCCCACTGACTCTGCTCTTACAGTTCTTTTCAGCCTCTGGTTCTATTATAAAATCCTCTTCCCCTCTGGCAAATATTTTGCTTCTGATTCCATAGATTAATGGAGCAAACATTAGAAGCATTTAGTTGCACTGAAAACATGCATAGTTTCTAAGTGACGATTTGAAAACCTTTATATTGCATAGAGCAGATGATCTTTCAGGAACAATGACATCTCATCTACTCAGAATCAACTTATTGTTCATAAATGGATGCGCAGCAACAATGCACAAAGCTGAATAAATACAAGCACCCCCCACCCACTGGAGAAGAATTCTACTCTTCTATTGCCGCGTGCAAAATAAACAGGCTTTGAAAATCTTTAAGAGCACCGTATTTCCATGATTGAAAAACTTGACTGTGTGGAATTTTTTTAACTGTTGTCTAATAATTCCAGGGATAAAGTTTTTATTTAGAAAATTCAAAGAAAACATCAAAATAAAATAGATCTTTCCCAGAAATGGTAGCAGCACTTAATCTGTATCTCATATTAGTCATTTTTACACTCTGATCTTACTCTTTTGAAAAGGGCACTAAGTTCAGCTGACATTTTAGTTGATGGGTATATGGACTTTATCATTTCTACTTCTGTAACTTCCAAAGTATTATTAAACATTTATTTTTTTTCTACTTATAAGAATTACTATTACCGGAACATGAATATAACCACAGACACTATAGACATACACTAGATAATGTATCTAAAAATCATCGTAGATGTAGTTTTATAAGCTGATGGCCTGCTGGCATATTATTGACTGCATTTGCATCCAAGACACAACTGCATCCAATTAAACAGGCCCTTGGTAGGGCCAGAGACGTGGCTCAGAGAGGAAGCACAGGCCACGCATGCTCAGACCCAGGCTCAGTCACAAAGAAAAAAAAAAGTAAAAAAAAACAGTTCACTGATGCTACAGTTTTTTTTTTCAGGCAAGCTTTCATCAAAAAGTAGAAAATAAGAGTTCCATACTTTAAAAAGTACTCTTGCTTTAATTTGAGCCACCATCTAAATTCTCAGTGGCTTTGCCCTTTCTAATAAAACTTGACCGAATTTTTAAGCACTTAACCTGCAATTTACTCTAACTTAAATGATTTTCATTAAAAATTTAATTTTAGAAGCATCCAATTCTCCTGATGCTTTTTTCAATTAACAACTAAACATGAAATTGACATGCTCACAAATTAATTAGTGTTTGAAGAGTAAAGGGGAAATATACAGACAAGGTATTCCTTTCATAATTAAAAACTGCTGCTATTAAAAATAGGAGGAATTGGAAGAAAAATTTTTCACATTATATCCTAATTAGTGTTTATATGTAATTCATCTTCCAAGGCACTTTATTTTCTGCTCTAGTTAAGGTGAAAGCACCTATATAATGTGCTTTTGATCTCTTAATATGAAGCCCAGATAATCATAAATAAGGTTCAATCACTGCACAATAGAAATAATTTTTTCTCTCAAGTCCATACATTAAAAATACGGCATAAAATGTTTTCTAGGAAGTAATAAATTATAATCAAATATCTTCTAAAGCATATTAAAATACAAAATCTAATCTTTCTTTGAATGGCTACCAAAAATAACACTCCTCTTGGTACATTCACCAAGAAGTTGTTTGCTGATTTAGGAGGGCGAGTGAGAAGAGTAACAGGGAGTGAAAAAGGGTTTCACTAGAATAGAAATGTCAGAAAGTATTGTATGGATAAAACAGAATATTTCAAAACTTCTAGTCAAGTATAGCCTAGTTAATTTTCTTAACACAATAAATTATCGCCTAAAACTCGCATTCTATTACTAATACGAACAGGACTTACCTAAGCTGATGCTCCCTCAGGTTTGATAAGGCTTCCATACCGTGTAAATAGGAATACACTATCTCCAGATCCTGTTTGAAAACAAAAATCAAAATCATTAGACTCCTTGGGACAAAAATTTGCCACTATGTTTACAGACCAAACTGAAAGAAGCTTTTTTAATAAACATTTTCTTAAACATAAAAGAAAAGCTGAAATATATGAATGTCATTAATTATAACTGCCTTTGGTTTTCTAAATATATATATATACACATATGCATACATATAAGCCATTACAATATAAATAGGCTCAAGCTTACTAAAAGAAGTCTTCATAATTCTTTATCACCAGTTTTTTACATCAAATAAAGATGCATCTTTTTTTTTTTTGCTTTTGTGGGTCACACCCAGCAATGCTCAGGGGTTACTCCTGGCTCTGCACTCAGGAACTACTCCTGGCGGTGCCCAGGGGAACCATATGGGATGCTGGTGATCGAACCCGGGTCAGCCGCATGCAAGGCAAACGCCCCACCCACTGTGCTATCACTCCGGCCCCAAGATGCATCTTTTAAATAAAATAAATTAAAAAGCATTTAAAATAGTTGTCAACGCCATGACTAAATCAACTTTTATATCTAGTCAGTATAAATTCTATAGTTTCAGCTTAGGTCTGTGATCCATTTTGAGTTGACTTCTATAAAAAGTATCCAGTAAGGGTGCTATCCACCCTGTGCTGAAAATATTCTTTCCCCATTAAATGACACTGGTACCCTTGTAAGTCAAACGATCATTTAATTTTTTTTATTATTATTTCCAGAGGCTGAATTCTACTGAACTTTCAATTCTCTTCCAACGGCCTATGTACCTTATCATCATCTCATACCAGATCAGACTGGTGTTCTTTACAGAGCTATGCAGCACATATCAAGGTAAGGAAATCTAAGTGATCCAACCTCGGTATACTTAAGAGACTCCCTAGCTCTTACGCATGCATCTGTGTTTCACAATCAGTGTGCCAAATCCTACAGACGCACAAAGAGGCATCTTGGGAAGGACTGCAGAGCTCAGCAGAGCAATGTGGAGGGAGCTGCCATCTTATGGACAGCAAAGCCCCCGGTCATGATACAACTGAGCCCTGCCTGGACCAAGATTTGCTCTCCTCCAACGGGGCTTTGCGCCAGCTGGAGTCCAAGCCTTATACATCCTTGGTTAGAGTCTATCATCTCTAGTTAGAAACCTGTGATTTAGGAGAAACGTTTTAGAGCAATTGACAATGTTTTTAAATGGCACATGTGCAATTAAATTAAGTAATTCATTGATTAAGTGATTCAAACCCTTTCAGATCCTAACAAAGCTTTCAGCCCGGGATATTTATATAAACAGAAGATTCTAATGGTGGGGGTGAGGGAAGAAATCAAGCTGTTACTTTTGAAGGTTTCCAGGATAAAATGCATCGCTACTGGAAAGGTGAGGTGTCTAGAGTGGCCCGCTCTTACAAACGCATGCTCTCAAAGTTCATCCATCTGTAGTTTTTGCTTTTTCCCTCATCTTTCAAAAGCCGTGTATGAAGATGGGAATGTGAGAGTAGACCCATAAATTCAAAACAAACACAAAGACTAAACACAAAACCTTTGCAACCACCTAAGAGTGTGCATCCCTCAGAGCTGCCAAGTCCCTTTAGAAGTGATCTGGCTTGTTAGTCCCCCACGGGGAAGCCAATAAAGGCATTGTAATTAATGAAAAGTTTTCTTTCGTACTTATAATAAGGTTGTTTTTTTGGTAACACATAACACCCTCCTGGATAGTCCTAAAGTTCACATTCTAATCTTTAAATAAGATTAAAACATCAGAATGCCATTAAATATTAAAATTATATTCCTAAAATATCATTAGGTTATTTGTACACATTACCTAGAACAGAGTGACTGTTTCTCAAGAGCTTAGATTCTGAATCTAATACTAAAGCCAAATATTTTCTCACTGAAATCCCCATCAGCTCAGGAGCGCCTGCCCACAGCCTGCAGTGCCTCTGTGTAAGAAAACAGACAAGACACTCTACATTCATTTAATACTCATCAAGCAGATTAAGTTTATGCAAACCAAGATGGCACTCTTGGCAAAACATAAAAAAGGAATGGCTCTGGTGTGTGCTGGGGTGGGGTGGTCCCCTGACTGATGATCAGGGACCCCAGGACAATAATCTGGACGCAGAGCTGCAGTTCCATACAAGATCTCCTGCAACATCGGGAATTCCCCGGGCAGCCCAGTAGCGCTGCATCCGGCAATGCTCAGAGTGGTCATGTGGTGATTCAAGGGGGCCAGGTGCATGCCAGGCATGCGCCCTGACCACTAGACTATCTCTGGCCCCAGGATTTTCAAAAGCAGAAGAAAGATGTAGAGGAAACATGACAGAAACTCAAATTTGAAAACTCAGTGAAAGAATCAAGAAAAAGGGAGGGGGGGAGGAAGAGGAGGGATAGAGAAGGCACAGAGCGAATTGGGCTAAGCTGTGAGTTAGGAACCACATACCCAAGGGGTTTATGCAGCCTCGGTGTCCCTGCACTGGGCTCTGACCTCACTGGCCCCAGCATTCAGGGCCCAGCATCTGTGCTCTCACAGTGACCTGCCAGCCCCAAGAACTGCTTGGGAAACTGTTTTGTGGCCAAACTTTTCTTTAATAAAGACTCCAGAGGCCAAATAGGAGTTTTACCAACACGGCAGATTCTGACTAACGGAAGGGCCTGTTTCCAGTCAAGGGAGACTGGGCAGTAATTGGCATTCAGCAAAGAGCACTGCTGGAGTCTTCTGGTCAACTTATCCTCCCCTTACCCCAGGGGTCCAGTGACCTCAATCACCCCAGACCTCATTCAGGGCAACAGTTAAAGAAAAGTTAAAGAATCAGAATATAATGTGTGTCGGGGGAGCGATCTGTGGGCAACTGCATTTCCCCCAAGGCAAGCAAACTCTCCGAGTGACATTTCAGGGAGTGCAAGAAAAAAAAAAAAAAAGAGGAGCTACACGGCAAAAGTGAGAGATGTGGGGACTGAGATGGCAGGAGGAAATCTAGTCCCGCCTGGAATTCAGGGGGTCCCTTCCGGGCCCCAGGGTTACCCCCAAATCTTCTGCTCCCTTTTCAGCCAGAAGTTCCGCCCTTGCCTTCCTCTGACCAGCATCTGGGGCCAGAACAGCAGCAGGGCACCTGCCTTGCACAGACGACCCGGGTTCAATCCCCAGCACCACTTCTGTCCCCCGGAGCCCTGTCAGGAGTGACCCCTGAACACAGAGCCAAGAATAAGACCCGAGCACCACTGGGTGTGTCCCAAAGACGAAAATAAACCAATAAAAATGAAATAATCAGTGAGCCTATGTGAAAACGCACTGATCCCATTCAGAGGTGCCGAGGAAATCCTGCTCCTCAGAACAATCTGGAATCTGTGAACCCCTGCACACGCCCAACAGGGAGAGCCCGAAACGGAAGACAAGGAAGGGGAGGGCCTTCGGGAAGTTGTATAGGAGTCTAAATGTTTTTTCTACACAGACAGGAGATACACATCAGGGCAAAGGTGGGTTGCAGCACATATTGGGGCAAGAAATGCTACAAGTAAAATCACACGCAAGTGTCTCTACTTCTGCCAAAAACCTTTGATATGCAAAGGGTGAACATTCTGAGCTCCCTCCCCTGCCTCCCAAAACAAAATGCACATGACTGTTACTATTTCAAAGGACCCTAAAAATATAAACTATGTTTCCCCCCACCGCACCCCAAATTCTCTGGTCTTGAATACAAACAGGAAAACGTGGCTCTAACCAGGAAGCAGCGTATTTTCTACCCAGAACAATAAGCCTTTCCTTATGCCCTGGGAAGCATATCCTTTTTTCAAAAATAGATGGCTGTTTGAATAAACGGAGATTAGCACTCTAAAATGACCGTGCCCCTGTGGACAATGACATTGACAGGCCGCTGAGCTGTGGTTTTGCATGAAAAAGGCGCTTCTTCACCAAATGTAGTAGCTGATATTACTAACATCAAAACCCTCTACATTACTTAGAAGAGACGGTTCCCAGGCTAATGGAAACCTCCTGTGTGGAGTTTATAAACAGGACACGGGCCTAGTAGGAATTAGAAGGAAAGTTCTCTGCATCTTAGACTCCTCTCATTTCTCCCAAGGGACTCATTCAGAATGTAACGGACTTTGCAGCAACCTGTAAGTGACTGAAAACTAGCTTTTAAGATCATTTGTTTGCCAGCATCAGGGATTTGCTAGCAATTTACAGACTATTTCACAGGGATGCTGCAGCTCCAAGAGAAGCTGACCACCCCACCCCCACCACCGGCGGGTGTCGGGACATGTCCGGTGACCGACTTATTTTTGACTGCAAAGCCTGGGCTGTGGCCCTGTGGGAAAGCGCACACCTGTCATATGTGAGATGCTGCCTTGGACCCCCACACACATGAGTAGGAGTTTTGTTCATAAATGAAGCGACCATCAGAACTTGGTCAAATCTTCCAGTGGTAAGAAAACACTAGGAGAAATTTTTTAAGAGCCAAATTATCTCCTTGAAAAAGACCTCAATCCTTCAAGGAAACCAAGGCCACAATGTGTGACAGTGAGCTGACAGGACTATGGAGAACTAAGCGGTTACGTGCCTTCCAATTAAAACATAAGGAGACAGGCAGGTGGATCTTCTCCCAGTGTCGGGGCACCGGGCTAAACAGAGTCGTTGTGTCAATGTGCTCTCCCTTGCAAAAACAAAAGAAAAAAAAGGTAATTTTGTTGGTCCCACAGGAGTATAGAGGTGACAGCACAGATAGGTCTTGAAGGCAGCCAACCCTGTTCATTTCCTGGCACCTCATGATCCCCTGAGCATCCCTGAGGGCAGCTCCAGGGGTCTTCAGAGGGAGTTCCAAGGGCAGGGTGTGCCCCTAAGAACCCCCCAGCATGGCCAAGGGCTGCGCTGAAGGTGCCCGCACCATGACTGGAGCAGTCAGGGCAATGCCCAGCACCATGCAACCCGAGGAATCATCAAAGCCTTACATGATCACCGTCACCAGTCCAGGGGGCAGAGAAGCACCAGGGAGGACCCACAAC